TGAGAGTAGCATTATGATTTAACACTATATATATTTATTAAAATATGGCATAATTTCAAAGCAAAAGAAAAGACGTATGAAATGAGTTCCCTAAATCGCAGGTCAGCCCCTTATCCAGACCAAACCTGTGACATTCAGTGTGATCATAGATTCCAGTTTCTAGAAACCAGAGCTTTAAGGAGCTTTGAACTCCCAACCCTTTGGTGGGCAAATTAACATTAAACTAGCTTGCTTAAGGTCACAGAGCCAGCACTAGACCCCACAGCTGCTCAATTGTAGTCAGTTGTACTCCATTTCCTTATTGACCACTTTCTCCTCCTCCTCTATGAACTTGCTCCTGTGAAAGTGGTTCCTAGCACTCTTCCTCCCCAGCCCCATACCCGGTGCCATATGCTCTCTGCCTGCCAAGTAATCAATCACATGTTCTTTCTGCAGGTGCAAAGTTCCCCATTAAGTGGACGGCCCCCGAAGCAGCCCTGTACGGGAGGTTCACGATCAAGTCTGACGTATGGTCTTTCGGAATCTTACTCACAGAGCTGGTCACCAAAGGAAGAGTGCCATACCCAGGTAAGGGCGGGACCTGGCAGCAATGGGCCTCCGATTGGATGCTGTCTCAGCACCATCTGGGGACACTTCTCAGTTTGCCTTCTAAGCCCCATCCTCAGCTTTCTGCTGTGCACGAGTTTAAAGAACACGAACAGGTATTTAGCCATGGGAAAGCAGAACTGGGAGCCACCGTGGACATCATGCAGGCAAGCAGCTACCATGCATTGTATGCCAGGAGTCATGTGAACAGCAGCTAGTATGAGGTTTCAGTCCACCCCAGTGCATGGAATCTCTCCTCTCTCAGTAGGAGTGTGCATCCGTGGCTCCAGGAGCAGAAATGTGGCTGGCAGAAACTCAACCCAAATCGAGTTTGCAGACACTTCCAGGAAAGAGATGTGCTTTTTGATTACACTGTAGCATTGACCCATGGAGTGAACCTGGCGGGAAAATGCCGGGACCTGTTCTCTCTGCAGGCCCCAGCTCCAGATGGCCATAGAGAGCAGAGGCACATGCGAAACACAGTTTAGAGGCCACTCACTGCCCTGTGCTGAGCAGTCAAAATATGCCCTGGAAAAACAAGTGCAACATAAAGAAATTAGAGATTCTTAGGCCCTGGAATTTTTCAGGATTGTCAGATTCATGCTTTTCAAAGAAACCACAGATTTAGGTTTTCCACACTTAAATTCATTAATTTCGACAGATGGTGACATAAAGGACACTCGTGCCATTTCACCTCCACGCTTTAGTGGTTATATTACAGCACATGGACAATCTGCTTTCTGAAATGTTAAGGACATATTTTTCAGTTACTGTTGAGTGAAGAAAGGACATAGCTCCCCCTCATTCCCTGCCTAAGAAAGGAGCTTAAAAAAAAAAAAAAAATAGCCAAGATAGAAACGATAGTGGAGATTAATGAGGAATTGAGGTCTTTTGCAAATCCTGGGTTTGTAATTCTATCTTTGCAGTCAGAGGAGACAGCGAGGGCAGATTAATTTGTAATCCCTTTGTTCGTTTTTATGATTATTTCTGGTCATTTTCAGAGAATGCAGAGAAGCAAAGAGGATCTCTTTTCAGGTTGGCGTGGCCTTGAGACTCCTAGGAGAGCCAGGCTGGCACAGAGACAAAATGGACAAATTTCCGTGTCTCTGAAGCGCCAGCCCTGGGCCTTTCGAGATGCAGGTGGAAGTCCGTTCTCCTGCTGCGGGGGCGGCTCCTCCCAGCGTGCACCAGTGGGCAGGCTCTCCAAGAGAGCCAAGCAGTATGCAAGAAAGGGCTGCCCGAGAGGGGCCTGGAGCACAGCAGGGGCGTTTTTGAGTTGCTTCTCAAGGGGGAAAATGTGCAGGTCTTGGGATTTTGAAGATAAAAGGCATCTTTTTTTTTTTTCCTTTTTTTTGGCCTGAATTTTGAACCAATTTCTCCCTGAATCCCCCAGGTTTACGGTTGGCCAGTGTGTTGAATGCAGCGAAGGGGAAAAGGTTAATGTTGTTTTGCATTTCGTAAAGGCTTTCCTTTCAGTGATACAAAGCCGCTTTTTGTTTCTCAGGGTTGCACACAGAAACCCAGACAAAGGCGCAGGGGCTGGGGCCTCAGGGAAGGCAGGCAGGTGTGTGCTTCTGGGGAGAGTCTTTTACCAAGTTTGGTTCTAGCATAAAGAAAACGGCCTTATTTTAGAACTCAGACTAGGGTTCATTCATTCAGCAGAGCGTCGGTGAGTGTGAACTGCACCGGGCATCTTACTCTACCTAGGAAATGAGTACAAATAAGACATTTCACACTCTCAGGAAACTGATTAAAGCCCTCCTGGAGTGAGGCACTGTTCTGGTTGCCTAGGATAGAACAATGAGCAAATAAACAAATGTAGTCCCAGCACTCATGGAATTTACAGTCAGATAGATAAAAGATGCATCAAATCCAGGAAGACATCAGTCTTTCCTGCTACTTATCTATTATTAGAGGAAATGATCCTCAAGGAGTGGATTACTTGGATTTACTCCCTGTGGGCCTTGAATCTTAATTCTGATAGTGGGGTCAGGGGCACCTGATCCAGGTATCTACAGAGGGACCTTTCCCTCAGAATCCTGTGAGGGTGGCAAAGGAGTTTGAAACGAGAACTGTGTACTTTATTATGCATAGTTCTGTACTGTGAGCAGCTGCTGACGTGCGGAAGGCTTGGAGAGCTGCCCCGAGTCTGTGAGGATAAGAGGACAGGTTCTGTCTGGGAAGCTTCATGGAGAAGGAAGCAAGTAGGGCCTCCTCCTCAAGTCAAGGAAGAGGGAAGAAGGTTCCAGACAAGGACCAGCATGCGGGAAGGCAGCAAAGCCTGGGACAACGGTGCTTGTTCAAGGAGCTGCAGGAATAAGGAATTTGAGGGCCATGACGTGAAGCCTGGAAGTGTGGCTGGAAAGTCCCGTGGCGAGGGCCTCACGTGCTACCACGGGGAGGCTCTGGGGCCTGGCTGGTCGGCAGCAGTGGCCAGGGGAGCTTTGTCAGCAGGCGAGTGGCCTGAGCTGCCCCTCGCCCACAAACAGCCACAGAAGATTGTTCCCAGACCCGTTCCTAGCCACGGGTGCTTCTTGGGTGTTTTTCTTGTTGTTGTTTTTTAACGTAGTTATAATCCTATTTAATTGGACTTCTGTATCTTACAGTAAACTCTTCTTGAGGGAGAGGCTTTTACAGAGGAATTCCAATTACAGGATTATTACCTTAATGAAGGATAACAGTTCCTAAGGCACAGCATCATTAAGCTTCATCCAGATGTCACTGTGCAAGGAAGGACCTTCCTGTCCACATCCTCGGTGTTGGCGTGGCCGAGTCAATGTGTGCCAAGGCATGGCTTCTCTGCCGCACCGAAACCTCGTGTCTGTCAGTGGTACCCGAGGACAGAGTCCCAGTGCCTGTCCCTCGTGCCGACATCGCAATGTAGAAATTTTGCAGTTGGCTACGGTATATTTTTAAGCAATTCCTTTTGCAAGAACGGTAGGTGGCGGTATTTTCCTGAATTCTTTCACACCTGAGAATGACCTTCTGTCACCTTCACACAGAGAAAAGGTACTTTGGCTGCACAACGACGAGGATGAGGTCAAGGGAGGGGAGATGACTTCTCCGTGGGCTCATAAAGCTTGCCAGGCATATTTGCCCAGCATGAGAGAAGTTCCAGAAGGGAGAATCAGAGAAGAAGCTTAGAATGGAGTATGTGAGGTGTGACCCCATGAAGAGCAGAAGGGTTGAGGAGACAATGAAACATGGGCCGCCTGGTCGGTTAGCTGGTTCTGAAAAAGGAATGGATTAAAAGGACAATCTCAAACTGAATGACAGTCTTGGAGCCAAAGAAAAAAATACGGAAGTGTGTCGCTGAGATTAACAGGGAGGTAGCGGACAGGAGGCGCACACACCACCCTCCCAGACAAGGTTGCTTCCGAGATTTGCCACAGAGATGCACACGGTTGCAAAGAACCACTCAGTTTTACAGGTTCCCTGGGAGCAGCCTGACCTGAACGCATTCTAGGCCCAGCAGTATAACTTGCTTTTCTGTGAGCCAAGGTGCAGAACCATTCTTTGCGTCAAGATTAGAATGGATTTTGTACCGATGGGGTTGTTTATGTGAGAAATGAAAACACGCACGTAAAAGGAGTTTTCTGGGGTTGATGCATAAAATCAGAGTTCCGCATTTTAAGCCGTCATGTCACCTTCAAAACCTCCCTCACCTCCTCCTTTTCCTCTTTGCCTCCACTGCCCTGTGTCAGGCTGTCATCCACTCTGCAGTGACCTCTTCGTGGGACTTCCGCTTCAGTTTCTCCTCCCCTCCACCCATTCTGTCACTGGCGCCACCAGGTTGTTATCCTAGAAAACAGAGACCCGGTTATCTTACTCTCCCAGTTAAAAATGTCTGTGGCTTCCCTTCACCTTCCAGAGAAACTCCAGAAGACTTAGCTTTGCATAGTCCTTAATAACCCTTTCCTTGAGGGGGAAAAAAAAATCTCCCGGAGTCATTCCACATGCTCCACATGCTTAATATTTATTGAGCACCTACTGTATGCCAGGAACTGTTCACACACCAGGAGTACAGCACTCAGCCTACAGACAGAAACTCGTGCCCTCACGAGTGTTTATTCTTCTTGGAAGAGACAATGAACCAAGATAATAAGCTGACTATGTTCAGTATTGGCTGGGTGGTAATAAGCATGGAGAAAAATAAAGCAGGGAAGGGGGTGGAGGGTGGCATCTGAGGAAAGGCCTGGAAAGAAGCAAGGCTAGCCAAGTAGCTGTGTGGCAGGGAGTCTTTCTTCAGAGGATCCCAGAGACAGCGAGGCCCTGAAAACAGGAGGCCAGTGCGGCTGGAGCTGAGGGAACAGGAGGTCTGAGAGGCCCCCAGGTAGATCAGATGGGGCCTTCCTAGGTGCTTAGTAGGACTTTAACTTTCACCGTTAGTGAAACGGGGAGTCACTGAAGGGCTTGAGCAGGAGTGACGTGATCTGACGTGAGTTGTCTCTCGCCACCCCCAGCCCTTCCCTCTGACCTGTGAGTCGCTCTCTCGGCTTCACTGCCTGCCTCAGAATCCTTCAAAGCCCAGCCCAGCCATCACCTCCTCCGTGTAGCTTTCTTCGTGTCCATACCAACTGGCTTGCCCCTTGTGCTCACTTCCGTGATACCTGGTACATCTCTGTCAAAGTCCCTGACCGTGTGCCTGTATTTCACAGCAGCTCTGAGCTGCCCAGGGACAGGAGCTCCTTTATATGTTGCCAGTGCTCAGCAGTGTCTCCCCATAGTAGACTCTCAATAAGTGTAAGCATGTGGAGCGATGGATGAATGGATTGATTGATCGATGGGTAGATGGCTGGATGTATCAATGGATGGATTGATGGATGGATAGTTGGGATAGCAAAAAAAAAAAAAACAAACCCAAAAAACAGATAATGCCTATGAGGTTTTTGAAACAAGATTTTTTAGTTTGGCTGAGAACCTTTAAAGCCTCCAACTCTATTCCATCATCTCCACACGTAAATATAGCATGTATTGTCCCA